ATTTTTTTACCTTCGCTTTGTGAGTATTACCTGGAAATGTAGGAATTTATTTATCTAATGCCTGAAACAGTCCCCGTCCTTCAATGACAAACATAAAGAAGGACTGTTCGGCTCACATTCAGGAGATTTATGATCCACAAAGTAGGAAACACTAGACTACTAGATGCCTGGTATCATTGTCCATGGTTCCTATTGTTGACCACATTATCTGCCCTCTGGATCTCTGTCCCTTCCCCTCTACATGGACCCTTCACCTCTCCTCTACCTATCTCTGCCTCCACCCTCTATCCATCCACCTTTAAACCATGGCGTCTCTCTAGCATTCGAGCCAATCAGAGGACTCAGAGGTGGAGAACATTATGCAAGACCCTCACCACCAAGGAGGGCACGAGCAGCACCACCACCACGTCCACGAGCCTCATGATGCAGACAGGGAAGCCGAGGGCGAAGACCGCCCCCACACCCCCTCATATTTGCGGCCCCCTGTGGCGGGCAGGGCGCAGTCGGATTCAGGTTCAGACCCCTTTTTACCGCAGAGCAGAAGTGTGGAGTTTGACTTGTCGACCCCCGTCAGTCCCACCAGGCCCAAGAGCCCCTGGGGTCGATTTGACCCGTACGACAATAATGAGGTAACACAAGGAGGCCGAGCCGCTAAAACCCAGAGAGGAGATAGATTTCAGTGGTTTTGTTCTTCTTTCAAAGTGATGTTGTTTGTGTGCTGTAACGTGTTGAACAGTTCATCCTCGTACTGACGAATGCAGTTCATGTGATGTGAAAAAGGTTTGTTTAAAAGAAACGAATATGTTGTTTTATGTGGTAAGAAAAAAAAGGTTAATTTGTGCTTATTTTCTTCTGGTGGAACCGGTTTTTGTGGCTCTGTGATGGCAGCGTTGCTTTCTGCTTGTGTTGTGTTGTTGAAACTTTTTGTGGGAAAATACTGAGAGTTTTTGGAGATAAGTGTTGAAAGATGATTTTTACATATACGTCATACATATATGTGATAATGTATGCTTCCCTTATGTATTATTCCATCTTTGTGTGCATTTTTTAGGACCAGGACAAGGAATATGTGGGTTTTGCGACACTGCCAAACCAGGTGCACCGCAAGTCAGTCAAGAAGGGATTTGACTTCACGCTCATGGTGGCAGGTAAATCCTCGTCTGCACATTAGCAGACATTTGATCTTAAGCCCACCTTTTACTCTGAAGAAACTGCTAATCACAAAGTCTTAAACCTCGCTCCTTTTTCTCTTTGTTGTTCTTTGTTTGAAGGGGAGTCTGGCCTGGGAAAGTCCACCCTGGTCAACAGTCTGTTTCTCACAGATCTTTACAAAGATAGGAAGCTGCTCAATGCTGAAGGTGAGGTTGCAACAGCTTTTGAAGTATTGTTTTAATTTCGTTTGATAAATATTTGCCCTCCGATGTCATGGCCGATATTAAAAACAGTGGTCTGTTTGTGTCCTCTCCCTAGAGCGAATCACACAAACAGTAGAAATCACCAAACACACGGTGGATATAGAAGAGAAAGGTGTCAAACTGAAGCTCACTATCGTGGACACCCCTGGGTTTGGGGATGCTGTAAACAACACTGAATGGTACGGTAGCTTTAATGAATAAAACAACCTGAAATGAAAAGAAATGACCAAAATGAACTAGGAATCTTTAGACCACAGCTAGATAATCTAATTTTAGCTCTGCTGTGTTTAAAAAGTCATGTGCAGTAGTTTTGCATCGCCTCAGAGACTGAACGTCCCCGTGTGTTTGTGCTCTAGCTGGAAGTCAGTGGCTGACTACATCGACCAGCAGTTTGAGCAGTACTTCAGGGACGAGAGTGGCCTCAACCGCAAGAACATCCAGGACAACCGCGTGCACTGCTGCCTCTATTTCATCTCACCCTTCGGTCATGGGTATGACAAATCTACAGTGCCCGCACGGGGATTAGTTAGCCTTCTGCCTCCCTTTTATCTCTCCTAATAATGTGGGAATATTAGCCCCTTTTCTACCGCAGTACGTAATGTCTGTGCTGGCATTCACATCCGATCAGGATCTAGCTTTACTCACCCTAAATTACATAGTATATCCCAGCACCGTGGATGCTCATACACTGCTTTTTTTTTCACCACCTGAGTAATTGAGATTTATGGTAAAATAATGTATTTACTTGCAGTGCATTCACCCCATAAATTGTTAATGCAGTGGGGTTCCTGCTGAGAGTTAAAGCAGTTCTCTGCTGCCTTCAGGTGAATTTACATCTGCTGCAGTGCTTTCGCTTTAATCAGTTGTTTGAGTGCTGATGTGGTCCTTTTCACCGCATTTGTGCACATGCACTGTTCCACATGGGTGTGCTCATTAAAGAACAAATATACCATAAAGCTCAAGTAATGCTGCAGTGCATGTTTAAAGTCATGGTGGTGGAGAGACTGCTCCCTCTGTTGATGAGCGTCGGTCATTACTTCACATCAAGAGGTCACATAGAGAACAAACCTCTGATTGAATGTCTTAAAACTAATGTCAGATCAGTGTCTTCAGGCGTCAACACATCTTGATCATCATCAAGATACATTAGTTGTCCCATAGATAGACAGTGTATATTGGAGCTACACACTTCACCTGTAGTCACTCAAATAATCAAATAATCAAATGAAAGATGAATTATTAAAACCCTCTCTGTGTTTAATGTGTACGTGTGTTTCGTATTTCTCCCAGCCTGCGGCCTTTGGATGTGGAGTTCATGAAAGCTCTGCATGAGAAGGTTAACATCGTCCCCATCTTGGCCAAAGCAGACACACTCACCCCCAGTGAGGTCAAGAAAAAGAAAATCAAGGCAAGTTGTTCTCAGTTTGTGTTTTAATCTCATAAATGAAGCCGTAGTTACATTGCAGAGTAATTTCCCCCTGGGATTATTTAAGTGTTTCTGATTCTGAGAGATTGACAGAACTTATTAATCAGTTTCTGGGCGAACAAATGAACTCCACTTGTATCATCACTGATCAAATTATTGACACCTTCACTTCCTTCGCTTCCCTGTAGATCCGAGAGGAGATTGAGCAGTATGGTATCAAGATATACCAATTCCCCGACTGTGACTCTGATGAAGATGAGGACTTTAAGCAGCAGGACACTGAGCTGAAGGTGAGAGCCAGAGCTGCCACGTGTCTCTCTGCTCTTTCTTTGCAGTGTATTTCAGAATCAGAATCACTTTTATTGGCCAGGTATGTGCACACATACAAGGACTGTGACTCCGGTTTTACGTTGCTCTGAATTTATGACAACAACCAGAGCTTTTGCATCTAGACACACAGCAACTGGATGCTCACGTGGTTTATTAGATAACTAAGAATAGACATAACGTGAATATGAAGTACGTCACGATACATTTTTATGTTATATTTAGCAAGAAATGTTCTTTGTCCTGATCACGTCACAGAAGATTATCCAATTAATAGAGTGAAGTGCTGTTAAAATGAATATACAGGACAATATAAAAGAAGACCTTGGCAGTCTGTCCACACACAGTCTTGATGACTCAGCTGTTCTTTGCTCTTCTGGCACCATAAGCTGCCAGCGAGGACACAGTCAGAGGGCCAGGGCATCTCTCTTTGCCTCTGATCAGAGCTCCGTGTGCAACTGCAGCACAGGAATGACAAATGAGAATAAAAGATGGAGGAATTTAAATAATGAATGGGAAATGGGTTGTAACAAAATACGGTCTGTAGACTTTAATGAGAGTAACCGGGAATGAAAAAAGGAAGGAAAGATGGCAGTAAGGAGGCAAATGTGGAACAACAGCAAACATCTGCACTGCACCACTCACTGTTAACAACTCATCTACACCCTCCCCTGCCAACTTTAATTCAGTGATCCTTTCTGCTCCCCCAACCAGGAAAGCATTCCCTTTGCAGTCATTGGCAGCAACACAGTGGTGGAGGCCAAAGGGAAGAGGGTGCGAGGCCGTCTGTACCCCTGGGGCATCGTAGAGGGTAGGCCCAGTCCCCTGGTCCACTTCACCATTCCTAGCATCATAACATGTTGTATTGAGGTCCGCATTGTTGAAACTGATCCTCACACTGTGGTTTGCAGTGGAGAACTCGGCACATTGTGACTTTGTGAAGCTGAGGAACATGCTTGTTCGCACACATATGCAAGACCTGAAGGACGTGACCCGGGAGACTCACTACGAGAACTACAGAGCCCACTGCATCCAGAGCATGACCCGCATGGTGGTGAAGGAACGCAACCGCAAGTACGCTTACGCAAAGTATACATCTATTAAAGATATATATTAAATATCAAGAGATAATATAGAAAATGTAGACATTTAAAGATGAAATATTTCTGAAGAGAATTCAGTTAAAGAGACGTAATCCACTTCTTGCTTCCTTCACCTTTAAGACATTCAGATTCACATCCTTGGAATTTATTTTTCTGTGTATTTAATATGTTAGAAATGTTCCTATATTTATCTTGACAGACACATGCAAATGAGTTAATCTAGTTCAAGGATTTTCCTATTTGGTATTTTTGCTGTGAAGTGTTAATGAGTTCTGTCAACAGCATCAGGAGAGCAACTAATTACACGGTGCCAGAGGCAGATTTCCTTTACGTGTTGTGTTTGTGATGATGATTGTGTTAAGTAGAATTCTGTCTGGTAGTTTCCACTAAGACACTGACGTCTGGGCACTCTTATATTGACGTTACATTAAATACAAATTAAACGTTGAACTTCTCTGCAGTAAACTAACCAGGGAGAGCGGCACAGACTTCCCCATCCCCGTGGTGCCCGCAGTAGCGGACAGCGAGACAGAAAAGCTCATCAAGGAGAAAGACGAGGAGGTACGGCACGCCGACCACGAACCCGACTCGCACCAACAACATGATCACGAGCACAAGTCTGAACACAATTCTGACCACCACGAGCACTCAGACCCTCGGCCCAACCCAGAGACACCCTTTGACTATAAGGGAGACGAAGCCCTCTGAGTGTCTTTAGCACACCCAGGTCATGTTTTCTGGGGTTGACAATGAGTAGCCTCACAAAACATGAACTGGTGTAACTACACATTCAAACCCCCGCTCCCCTGTCCTCGCAAGTCCTTTGGACCTTTGAACTGTGGGTAGAAAGAGAGCTTGCCACATAAAAATCATGCACTTAAGGCATGATTACCTCTGTTTTGTACGTGCACTTACTCATAGAGCTAGAGTTACATCCAGGTAACAGCACTGATACTGGAATCACTGATTATGTTGAATATGTTGCTTTATACTCGTGGTGTCGTGATGGTAGCAGGAGCCGGCTGGTGTGTAAATCCTTGGAGGTCATCATGTGTAAAAATCCAGGGTTTTTTAGCTTTTGTCCAGTTTTTGACAACCTCAGATTAAACCTTGTATGAAATAATCTTTAATAATCCCACTCTGGAACAGGTCAGCACTGCTTTAAACTTTAGTGCAACTAGTAAAACTTGGCAGGTTCAACTCTGTCAGCAGGGTGCAAACACCAACAGCAAGGTACTATATATAGTTACAATACAGCAATCATGTTATTATATTCAAGGGCTAAATAAAATGCGTATGAAATATAATATAAACTGTTTATTTGACAGAATTATTCCTAGATTAAATATTATTATATATTATTCATATTTGTATTCTTCACATGCTGTATGAACCCAGTCACTGCGATTACTTCCCAGTTAATATAAGTACAGCTGATGATACATCTGTTCATGGTGAATTATAACAAGTTCCCTCCCTCCTCCCCACTAGATCGATTATATTTTACCAAATAAAGAGACCGTTTCTCCTCAGTTGTTTTTTTTGTGTGTGTGTGCAACCAACATTAAAACGTGGTTCAACATGACAACAGAGCTGCAACGATTAGTCAATTAATTGATAAGTCGATTGACAGAAAATGAAGCAACTATCTTGATCATCATTAATCTTTTCGGGGGATAAAAAGCAAAACATTTTACGGTTAAAGCTTCTCAAGTGTGAGAATTTTATGTTTTTTCTTGTCTTAAATTATATTAAATTAAATATTCTGGTTTTAGACTGATGTTCAGACAACCGTGAGCGATTGGTCTTTTCTTAGTTTCCTGGTGTTGTGTAGACTAAATAAAGTAATTGATTTATTATAATAATCGTCAGGTCCAAAGAATCTTAACCGTGACACTGTACTATCTCACTCACTATGTGTGTGTTTTGCCAGTGGGTGCATACTGTACTGCAAAAAGCCCATCACAGCACAACGTAACCAGTGTTATGATAAATGTGAAAGAACTAATATTTGAGTTTGACAAGAAGAAAATGCCGTTTGCCCTCCCTAAAACTAAAGAACCCATCATGCATAATACTGCGTTGGTGACATTAAACACTCTGTAGTGCAGCTGAAGAAGCAGGTGGAGGAGCCCGTGGTTCCCTGCGGTCGATCAGCACAGGTCACGTGATCCAACAAGAACAGACTGATCTCGCGAGTGTTATTGATTTGTTGTCTGTGCAGTCATGTGTAAATAATAAACTGCACCGTGGGACCAACTAACACTTGACGTCTCATCTCTCCTCACAGTTGCGGCGGATGCAGGAGATGCTGCAGAGGATCCAGGATCAAATGCACACTCAGAAAGACGCCTATTAACGTAAAAGACAGCAGTCACATTCTCTTTAACTGGGATTTAAAAAAGAAAAAACACCCAGGAAACCTTTATTCCTCTCTAGAACATTGACATCCCGACGTGTCCTCCCAACCACCACTCAACCTCATCAACAGCATGTTACACATGGATCAGGGACCTGCGAGGAGGTGGTAAGATGTTCTGACATTTGCAGCTCAACGACTCCCATCATCCTCTCCAGAGTCTCTGACATTAAGAAACCACCGCTGCGAAACACTCAAGCCTCCACTCTACTGTTTCCTGTTCTGTCAAAACTTTAACGTCATTAAGAAACAAGCAGGTTTGTCTAATTTGAGGATTTGTTTAGTCGTCCGTAATGCTTAGGAGTCAAATATCTTTATTTAGCCACAAGATCACAGGGTTGTATTTTATTTTTTACATAAGGTCTGATATGAGGTTTACATGTGATGACCTGCTCAGATTTTTTTAAGCACATTTTTTTCTGGTGCTTAAAGTGTTTATTTTTACTATTACTATAGGTCAACATGCATATATACTGTAATAATTTAATTCTCTATATTACACTCAAACATTTGTTCCACTGTTTTTCATCTTTTTAAGTGTTTTTTTTATTTAACTACACCCCTTCTACACTGCTTGACATTAAGTGTGGATGATTGTTTGATGCAATTTCCCCTCAGCCGAGGTTCCTGTTGGTCCATTTGGTTTAATCTTTATGCGAGTGATTGTTCAGTTTTATTTAAATTATGTTTTTATCAGTGTCATGTGCATGTTAATCATAGTTGCCACCTCTGCTGCCTGACAGCATGGATGTTAGTGTCTCTGCTCAGCGTTGGCCAGTCTTAACTCACTGCAATGCTTACTGATCGCCATATCAGCATTTAAGAATAACTTTTTATTTGACAAAGGAGTTTTGTCATATGTCCCCCCAGAAACAGAGTCGCTCTCAAAGTCAGTTCATCTCACGAGGGCCGACCATCAACAGTTCACATGCGAGAGCTGGTGACAACCGTTAGAGCGTTAGAGAAGATGAGGACTTTGATTAGACAAGACCCTTCATTTGCATGAGGTGAGTGTCCGAGGGGAGGGTCGCATCAAAGGGCCACGCGGTGTATTTATTTTTGCATGTGTTGTTGTAAAGGTAACTCCGATTGCAGATCAATTAACTGATCAAAAGGTTATTTATGGGCAATGAAAATATGTAGCTACTTAACTGTTGGGGGGAAAATACTGAGACGAGGTGGATTTTTTTGTTTTGGTTGGTTATAATTATATTTTCATTTGAAGGGAACTCATATGTTGGATGTGTGCTAACCTTAATGTTTATCTTATAACCAAAGCCATCGATGACAAACTTAATTGTCCTAAATTTTGGATTTTCTTTCCTTTTGTGTGAATTTGTTTTCTA